CACACACATACACACTCTGATCTGAGCTAGGAATTATTTTATTTCCTCTCATGTTACTATTGTATATTCTAATCATATTTCAAATTTTCTGACCCTGTTTCCTCCTACTAAAATAAGCAAGATTTATTGAGTGCCTATATTGAGATAGGATCTCACTATGTAGTAGCCCAGCCTGGCCTCAAATTCATGTCAATCCTCCTGCCTCAGCCTCCTGAGTGCTGGAATTACAGGTGTCTGCCACCATGCCTGGCTTTGAGTGCCTATACTGAACCCAGAAATTTTCTTGTTGCTTTTACATATTTTTTTTTTTTATCTTTTCAACTCTATAGAGGAGAAAATAGAAGGTGGGAAGAGTCTACCATTGCCTGAGGACTTTGGAGCCAGAAATCAGTGGTAGATCTCCCACTTGAGAGCTCCGGTGTTCCCACCATATCCCCCTGCTTCCTGGAACCCTTCATCCTGCACATTTTATGTAATCCAAAGCCTAGTCCTCACAGTTCTGTGGCTTTCTCTTTCTTGATGCTTTAAGTAAAATAAAAACAAATCAACACAAAACTCTACACCTTTCATTTAAGATGGTGAGATTCAACTATCCCTAAAGGACAGTCAGGACTGAGTTTCACCCAGTTTGAGTTGGTTTATGGATTCTAGCACTCAGCTTCAATAGTCTAAATTTTCTTTTTTGAGATGATGGCCTTTTCCTCGTATTTCTGGAAGTTGCATAAATATGTTGATGTAAGAAGCTGTTTATAGATATCTGCATGTAAGAGAAGGTTAAGAAGACTCAGAGTGCTTTGAGTCATAACCAGCTTTGCTTCCATGACATCACTGCTTACGCAGATAGGATGAAAGTCATTTGTCCTAAGAGCCCCAAGGGGCCACTTGGAGAGATTCCAGAGGCTCACCTGCTTCTCCCACATCACAAAGGCAAAGCCAACTTCTGAGCTCCTTTCTGTCCAGCACTGCAGTTTTATTCAGCATAATCACCATCATTTCTTAAGTAGAAATGGGAGTATGAGCTATTATCAGAACACTCAAAATAGTAAATACAAAGAACAAGCAAATTAGGGAACTAATCTAAACACAGAGTAATTTTTTGCTTTAAGTAAAGGTTCAATGACATTTATATGGCAAGCTTCACAAAGGCATTTAAAATGTAAATTGAATAATAATAAAAACCTTATTTACTCAAAATATCAGGTGGCATATGATAGTTTGCATTCAGTAGGGATTTATCAGTATATTTCATAATTTATTTTGTCCTCACGACTATTTTGTAGGATGGGGCAAGTATTGTTCTTCATATTGTAGATAAGAAAGCTAAGGCAAAAAGAATGAAGTTCTTGGCCAAGGTCCCATCGCTGGAAAGTATCAAGGGCAAGAATAGCTGGCAATTCACCTGACCAAACATTCTCTTATAAGCATGCTGCTTTTTCAGGTTTATATTTTCCTTTGAGACAAAACTCAGATATTGAGAAACTATTCCAGAATGCATTAAAATTTCAAATGGAGAACTAAGCATACAAAATGATTTGACTCCCCAAGAGAGTAGGAGAGCTGTAAGTTTCTGTAAGAGCCCATCAGTTACCAATGAAGCTTTTTGTATTCATCAGAACTCTCCAGAGAACCAATAGGGATAGATTTATATCTCTTTCTGTATCTATATCTATGTATCTGTCTGTCTGTATATAAAGAAGTTTATTTTGAAACACTGCTCACATGATGGAGGCTAAGAAGTCCGGCCATATGCATTCTGCAATCTGAGACCCAGGAAAGTCAGGCCATTGTTTTAATGCAAGTCTGAACTCCTGAGAACCAGGAATGCTGAAGGTATAAGTCCTAGTGTGAGGGCAGAAAGCCAGGGTCCCAGCTCAAGTGTCAGGTAGCAGGAGAGATTCTCCCTTTCTCTGCCTTTTTGTTCTGTTTAGGCCCTAAATGAATTGGATGAGGGTTGGCCCTCTTTGAGAAGATTACCCATCACAAGATTATTCATCACACTTTTTTAAAAAACAAAGGATCCCAGCCAAACCATAAATATATTCAGGAAGAATTTCCAAGTGTAGATTTTCTTATTGTTTTAGACAAAACTGGAAGGCCCTAATATGGCCAAAGTAAGGCAGTCTGAGGACCAGTGAAAAGAGGCATAGATTTTCAAAGTGAATAACTTTTTTTCTCCAAGTTATAAGCCATTTTCTTCCAGGCAAGCTAATAAAATTAATGTGTGCTTATCCCCTCTAGCAGAGAAGAAAAAAGAGAGCCATATGCAATTGAAGATAATCAAGAATAAATTGTTTCACTTTAATACATATTTCTATATCAACATTGGAAATCTAGTCTATATGTTCATTCTAGAGTAAAGCTCCTCGTACCCAGCTGTAGTCATTAGACTGCTCCCCTCAGAAGTCTTCCACAGGTCTTCATGACCTCCTGAATTATATCATGCCCCTTAGCATGACACACACATCTCCATCATCCTACCCAAACTGCTCTTATCTCCTCTCCCTCCTAGGATCTGTGTGTCTACCAGGCCACAATAGTGTATTCACTTGTCCCTCAACTGAAATGCCCTTCTTTTTTCCCCTCCCTCAATATCTGTCTGCTATATAATCACCTTGCCTTACCTGTCATTGCAGAGTAGGCCCTGAGAAAGAGAATCCTGAGGTATAATCTGCATGTCACTGGCCATTATCACAGTGGTAACCACCAATACCTATTTTCTGGTTAGGACTTATTTTGGAGGAAACATGGGATTAACAAGAGCAAGAAACTATAAATTACAACCATGTCACTTTGAAAAAATCCATTTCAAGAAATGACAAGTAAACTATAGTTGTCCTTTGGTATCCATGGAGAATTGATTTCAGCACTCACCAGTAATAGCAAAATCTGTGGATGCTCAAATTTCTGATATAAAAGAGAATAATATTTACATATAACCTATGTCCCTCCTCCCATGGACTTTAAATCACCTCTGGATTACCCATGATTACTAATACAATGCTGTATAAATATATTGTTTAAGGACTAATGACAAGAAAAATCTGCACATGTTTAGGACAGACAAAACACTTTTTCCAAATATTTTCCATGTGTGGTTGGTGGAATCCATGGATGTAGGATTTATAGATATGGAGTGACTACTCTAATAAAAATAAAAATTGCAAAACGTGGGTTTAACAATGTGTTAAACACAACTGAATTCAAATCATATTAATGAGAGCTGGGGATTCAGCTCAGTGGTTCCGCTGCATGCCTTGCAAGCACAAGGTCCCGAGTTTGATTCCCAGTACCAAACCAAACCAAACAAAACAAAACCATATTAATTAAAAAGAAATCTATAACTCCACAAATTATAGTAATATTTCAGAACACAAAAGACAATGAGAAGATCTTAAGGCCAACCTGAAAGAGAAGCAGTTCATCTGCAAGACAATATCTCCTTACAGTTTAGTTCAGTAGATAAGAGTATGGGGTCATTTTGGTTGATGAGAACATGAACTATAGTGACTGGATTTAAACACTGGTTCTATCATTTGCAAGTATAGTACATTTTGGCAAATTACCTCTCTATGATTCAGTTTCCTCATCTGTAAAATACGATTGGTAATATTTTCAATTTCTTGTATTGCATGAAAAATCCACTTGCTTTTTCTAGATGGAAGCTTAGCATGAGTAAATACTAGACATTGTTAACAAAAGAAGCAACTGCACCACTGACAACTTTTCAGTAACAAGAACCTGAAAAAGATAGTTAACTGTTATAGTGTTCTTGTTTCTTTAAAAACTTAGAATTAATTTGAAATTTAAAATTTAATTTAACTTAATTTTTATTTTATTTCAGCAATGAACATTCACAAATTAGACAGTTGAACAGTTCTTGAAAAGAAAAGAGGAGTTCTCACCCTATCTTCTTACCTCCAACTTGTGCATAGAGGCAATCTCTGTTCATCCTTTTTTCTTCTTTTTATGATATTTACTGCTAAATATCATTATGTAGTTATTTTCCAGGTTTAGTTAATATGCATTCTCTCTGATGGAAGATGGGAACTAAGGTTTCTTATACATCTCCCCCACACATGCACACCTCTGCCTTCGTTTCCTGAAAAAAATTATATCATAGTATGTCTATATCTATTTTATTCTCTATATAAATGTTATTCACAGCTGAGCCATGTACTGTACTATGGTAATATTCCTTCTGTTACACAATTTCTTCTTCCCTAACATTTATCTTTTTGCTTGTCTATTTTTCTATGATTCTTCACTAGCTCATCCCAAACTCTCCAAAAGAAATATAAACCCCTTAAATGTGTGTGTCAGTTGATTTCTTGACTTTCTTGGAGATGTCTGGCTTAGAGTCTTTGAAATTCCTGTTCCAACCTGTATGAATTGTTTTCTAACCTGGCTGTGTATTAACATCCTGGTAGTTCTTCCCACATTTCTCCTGTGTTAGATTCCTTGCTTCTTAATTCTCTCTTGATTTAATTCTTATTTCAGGGGAGCGCATCCTCCAGTAGCTTTTTCATAAAGGGGCAAGGGCGATACATATTGGAAATGTCTGTAGCTACTTGGTCATATTTTTTGTGTCAAGGCCTGTCTTCAAATATGTAATGGTCACTGACAGTCATTCACAATCAAGAGTGAGGCTGTAGCAAATTGATTAGACACTCTATGTGAGTGAAAGGGATTCATTGCATTGTGGGCTTCACTGTCAAGTAGATAACAAGGCAGATACTCAGTTTGGGGGTTGGAAGATCCCCAACCATCTATGTCTGTCTACTTTTGTCCTAGGAAAGGGCAGTTTCCCCATAAGTGGAGGCTCCAGGGTCCTCTCTTGACAGGTATCCATCTCTCATTCTGGTAGATGAATAAGGGAAGGCACTGGGGTCCTTGTTTAGTGTAAAGACTGCTTTAGTTCCTCCCTAGCTTCAAAACACCACACTATGCACTGTACTGAAGGTCAGCAACCCCAAAGATACCACCTCGGTTTTCTTGTGAGAATGAGGAGGAAACTATCCCTAGTGGGAGAGGGAAGCTCTTACTCATGCTTTCAACCACTGCTCCTGAAGTTTCTCAAGAAATATTAATCAATAAATCAACTAATCAACGAGGAGAACACCCAGTCAATATTTCTACATGGAAGTTTTTAAAGCTCTTACTGAAAGTGTGAACTCAAACACATTTCTTAATTTCTCTGAGCTTCCTTTTCTTCATCTGTGAAATGAAAACTCCCCTAGAGCTTAAGTGTGAGGGTATGGTGGGATTAATGGACGTAAAGAGTCTGGCACAGTCTCCCTAGACCAAGGAGATCACTCAATTGTAGGCAGTACAGTAATCACGGTGGTAGTCAATGGTAATATCCTTAGCCTTCTTTCAGTGGACAGACAAGAACAACTCCCATTATCAGGTGCTTTTCTTGCATCCTTTATTCATGTTCTGCTGAATCCTAATAGAATTTCAGGGGTTCTACAATCTCTGCAAATTGCTCTTCACCCTACATTTCCCCTGAGTTCCCAACCAAATCAACAGAGCCTCCTCCTTTATTCTGGTCTCCATCCTGATGGATTAATGGGCAAAAGTGAAGACTTCAGTGATGTCACTCCAAACTCAAGGCTCAAGGTAAAATCGAGATACATGACTATCTTTTCTCCCTATTCCATACACAATTCCTTCATTCCCTAGGTCAGTGCCCTAGCCCCTCTACTTACACATACACACACATAGCCTGGCCCTTCTTCCTGTCCTTTCCAACCCCTGGCAAAAAAAGAGCCAAAGGGAACATTCTTGATTTCAATGTGTTAGAGAAAACTCCTAAGGCAAAATGAAGTTTCTCTTTTCAGCCATTTACCATTAGTCCTCTCTTGCCTTAATCTTTCTTCCCCTTCTCTCTCACTGTTCCTGTTTGGGTCTTGACCTACTTTGTTACAGGGCAGCCTTCCCTCTCCACAGTTAAGTTCTTCTCCTGAATTCTTAGTATGTGCTTTTTATCTCCACTTGGGCCTCTAGTAGGTATATTAATTATCTGTATCTCGAGGTATTTAGTAGGAAAGAGGAACTAGGGAAGTTGGGAATGTCTTAAAGTTAAGAATTTAAAATGTTCAATAGGTTAGAGATCTGGTACAGAATCTGGTGAAAAGCAGGATCCACTGTGCTTGACATTTGCCCCCAATCTGACATTTAGCATGCAGGACTCTAGTAGGGATTTTTTTCCTACTACATCCCTCGTTGAGTCTCTATTACTGAAAATATACCCAGTGAAATTTCTAAAGTGGGCCTTATTAATGGAAGTCATGGTCAGTTGAATTTTGGGGATCGACTTCTGTTGGGAATGATGCAAATACAAAGTAATTTGGAGATATGAGTGAATGAAGGACATAAGCTATATAAACAAGTTTTACCTATTAACTCCTTACTGTCTTGTTTCTGTTTTCAGCCACACACAAATAGGAAAGCTACACTTTGTCTTTGCCTTCTGCAGATGATCTTTTGTGAATACAGCCCTCAACTTATCCTTGAAATTCTCCCCAGCAAAGTAATAGAGAAAAGGATTGAAGCAACTATTGGCTGCTGCCATGGCCAATGTGATAACCACAGCTTTATGCAGTCCATCTCCACATGAATCCTTGTTCCATGTGATCAGGTGGAGGGTCCTCAGTGTATGATAAGGCAGGAAACACAGGAGGAAGATGATCAAGGCAATGATGATGGTGGTCAGTGCTTTCCTATGAGAAGCTCGCAAATTTGACTCTGGGATCTCCACCTTTAACAGGACCCGAATGACCAGCAGGTAACAAATGCTGAGAGTGAAGAATGGCAGCAGGAAGCCTACCACCAAGGCAATGTGGTTCATGATCAACAGCTTACCAAGCTTCTGAGAATCCAACTCCAAGCATGTTGTGATATTGTTCTTCAGCTCAGAACCACTCTTCAGAAGCATTGCTGCAGAAGCCATGATAAAGATCCATATGATCCCATATAGGGTCCAAGCACTTCTAAAGCTGGTGTCATGGAGAAGCTGGAGGTGGTGAATAGTGGCCAGGAAATGCACAACACTCAGCACAGTTAGGAAATAAATGCTGGTGCACATGTTGACATATAAGGAATAAGACATAATTCTGCATGCTAGGTCTCCAAATATCCAGTTGGAGCTGTTCAAGTAGTAGTGAGCCCTGAAGGGCAGAGTGCTTGTGAATAGGAGATCTGAGATGGCCAGGTTGAGCATGAAAACATTCGCAGATGTGGATTTCTCATAAGTCTGCAGGAAAACATAAAATGACAAGCCATTTCTCAAGGCTCCCCAGACAAATATTGTCAGGTATACAATTGGGTAAAATTCTTTCTTGAAGCTTTCAATCATGCAGTTCTTGCTGCTGTTGTTTGGTTCCATTTCTGATATGGAGTTGGCTAGAGAAGGGTTAAAAAGAAACAGACACAAAAAGTTATTTTGCACATTTCCTTTTTCCTTCCTGTGCATAGATTATCTATCTTTCTGGGTTTTAATGAACCAGGGAAAAATTTTCAAACTTTGAAACTTTAGTTGAAAAATGTTGTTTAAGAGTTCATATTGCATTATATTTCCTAATTTATAAAATGTAGAATAACCAATAATTTATTTGCCTAAAGCTGGAGTCCGAAACTTGAGAAACATTTGGCCTTGTGGACATGTTCACATGAGTGCCTTCTGTTAGAGCTACAGCCTGAATCTACTGTGCAGCAGATTTCTCATCAGCAACTATGGAGAGCAGAAAGAAATGGCATGACAGTCCTCAAATACTGAAAGAAAAGTCCTTCCAACCTAGAGTTCTATATCCAGCAAAAGTATCCCACAGATGAAAAGAAGAAATAAAGACACTCAGCAGGGTTGTCCCACAGAACACGCTGAATCAGGCTGCTGCAGATGGGCAGGTCTGCCCACGCCCTACTGAGGTCCTCATTCCTGCTGAATATGCCAAATCAGCCCGCTGCACACAGGAAGGTCTGTGCACGCCCTACCGAGGTCCTGAGTCACACAGAAGACACCAAATCACCCCACTGCAGACAGGCAGCCACTTGGTTCCACGCTACAAAGAGGCAGAGGACACCAGACCACCAGACCAAGGTACTGAGTCCCACTGCTCCCGGGCCAGAGGTAGGGGCTTCTGAGCAGCTGTCCCACTGCTCCTGGTCCAGAGGAAGGGGCTTCCCAGTCACCATCCCTCCTGCTGCTCCCAGCCCAGAGGAAAGGGCTTTTGGGTCACCATCCCTACTGCTGCTCCTGGCCCCTGTCCCACCTCACCCAGCTCAGAGGAGGTAATCCGTGCAGGCACTAACAGCCCCCCACCCCAGTCAAAATGAGAAAACACATAAATAAGTCTCAAAACCAGACTTCCAGATCACCTACAGCAACCCCAAAGGGAAATGAGATGGAACACTTTGATACTCAACCACCTGGACCCACTGAACTGGCAACAAAAGGGGATCTGGAAAAAATGAAATCAGAAATAATTTCTCAGATAAAAGGAGAAATTGTGAGCCTAGTGCAAGACATCATTAATAAATCTAGAGAGGGGCTCAAGAACATGATAGAATCCCAAAATAGGAAACAAATGGAATCCATAAAACAGATGCAAGTAGATTTCCAGGACATGAAAAACTCCACTGAAAGTCTACACAGCAGAATGAGCCAATGTGAGGACAGAATTTCAGATATAAAAGATAAGATTGCAATTAGTGACCAGGAAAAGAAAAATTGCTTCAAAATTCTAAGGGAACATGAGAAATCAATCCAGCAGCTGCTAGATGATGCAAAGAAGAATAAAATAAGACTGATTGGGCTCAATGAAGAAACAGGAGAGAGTGGAGATGACATAAAAAATCTCTTCACAGAAATAATGGCAGAAAACTTCCCAAGCAGGGGAAAAGAGCTTGACATACAGATAAGTGAGGCATGTAGGACTCCAAATAGCCTTGATCAAAAAAAATCTACACATAGGCATATAATTGTTAAGATTCCAGAAACTCAACAGAAAAACAAAGTTCTCCAAGCAGTCAGAGAAAAGAAACAAATCACTTAAAAAGGAAAGCCCATCAGAATCACAGCAGACTTCTCAACACAAACCATCAAGGCAAGAAGAGCTTGGAGTGACATATTCCAAGCCCTAAAAGAAAACAGCCTCCAACTCAGATTGATGTACCCTGCAAAACTATCTTTCAAAATGGATGGAGAAATAAGATACTTTCATGACAAAGAGCACCTTAGGAACTTCGTGAATACCAAACCAGCACTCCAAAGAATTTCACACAATATCCTAGGAACAGACATTGAGGATCACAACCCCAGGAAGCAAAGTAGAATGAACCCACCTGGCATGACAAGAAATTAAATGTAAAGGGGGAGAACCCAACAAAAAGAAAAAGTCATGGCAATGACAAGTCAATACGTTTCAGTTATAACCATCAATGTTAATGGTCTCAATTCACCAATCAAAAGAAATAGACTGGCAGAATGGGTCAAGAAGCAAAATCCAACAATATGCTGCATACAAGAAACACACGTAATTCAAAAGACACTCAGCAGATGGAAAACTCAGAATTTTTTCCCAGCATATTACTCTAAAAGGATGACCAAAGGAAGTTCTCTTAAAAGGAAGGATTTTATAGAAGAAGGAAACTTGGAACATTAGAAAAGAAGAAAGACCATGGTAAGCAAAAATGCAGGATAAATATAGTAGGCTTTCCTTTTTGAGTCTGGTATGTCTCAAAGAAACACTATAAAACTGATATGGTTTAAAATGGATGTTAGATGAATTATTGGTGTTTGAAATAAAAACTATAAACTTGTCTGATGTGGTTTGAATGGATGTAGATGAATTATTTAAGACAACTATATTATACATGAGGGAAGATAAAAAGACATAAACAGATAAAATTTCTGCAGCTCATTTGATGATGCTAATAGATTGTGATATGTAATGTTTACACAATGTAATAAGTATATATCATCAACTAAAAAGGTAATACAAAAAGTTACACTCAAAAACACTTCAGATGAATCAAAATGGAATTTTAAAAGTCTTCAGATAACCAACAAGAAGGCAATGAAAAGATAATAAAAACAGAAAAGAAAAATTAAAGTGCAGACTTATCCTTAATATATTAGTAATTACATTAACTATGAATGGTCTGAATATACCAACTAGAAGATAATTTGGCTGAATGGAATATAAAAATAAACAGTTATACAGTCTGCAAGAAACTTAACTCAAATAGCAATATTGCCAGGTTAAAAGTAAAAAGATAAAAACACATGTCATATATAAAGCGATACAGTCATCCTGGAAAACAATTTGGCAATTTCTTTAAAAGCTAAACATGAAACTATAATACAATCAAGTAATGGTATCCTAGGCATTTATCCTAGGGAAGTAAAAACTTATTTCACACAAAAACATATACATGAGTGATTATGTATAATATCCCCAAAATGAAATAGCTCAGATACCCTTCAGTGGTTTCACAAACTGTGGCACATTCATACCTCAGAATACTTAGCAGTGAAAGAGTGAACTACTGATTGGGCAACAGCTTGGATAAATCTCCAGAGAATTTTGCTATGTGAAAAAATAATATAAAAAATTACCTACATATGATTCCACTTATGTAACATCCTTGGAAAGACAAAATTATAGAAATGGAGGATACAGATTAGCAGTTTCTAGGAATTAAGATAATGAGGGTAGAAAGAAGGTGGATGCGACTATAAAAGGAAAACTTGAGGAATCCTGGTGGTGATGGATATGCTCTGTATCCTAAGTGTGTTAAGGTCAGTATCCTGCTGTAGTTTTGTGAGATGATACCATTGGAAGAAAGGATATAAGCAGTTTCCCTATTATTTCTTACAACTGCATACGAATCTATAATTATGTCAAAATAAAAAGTTTAATTTTTAAAGAAAGGTCTAGGGTTGCAGCTCAGTGATAGAGCTTTTGCCTAACATGTGAGAGGCCATGGGTTCAATCCCCAACACTGCTAAAAGAAGAAAGGAAAGAAGAGAAAGAGGGAAGTAGGGAGGGAGAAAAAGAATAAAAGAAAAAGGTATGGTTTACAGAGGACACTATGGATGACTGCAGCATTCCATCTAGAAAGAACTGCTCAATAGTTCTTGTTTTTAGAAAAATACTGAGATTTCACAAGGTCACCTTCCTCTCACACTCTATTCCTCACCAACATGTTCACATTGTATACCTTGAGAAGTGATCCCAGGAAAGATGGAAGAAGGCCCTCAGGAGCCTTGATGCAAATATAGTGAAGGCAAGTTGTTCAATATCTGTTTCTGGTGGTCTGGGGCTGCAGAGCAGTGACAGAAATTGAATTTCACCAAGATCTACCTGAAGTCCTTGCTGCCTTGAGCAACTATCTTCAACTAGTACAGACATCTGAGTTCGCTGTCCATGTCCATTACCATAATGACTGTGTATCACAAGAGAATCCCCCCCCACCAAGTTTCTAGATTCACAAAGCCATTTTTCTCTTTCATCATGGAAAGTTTCAGTAAGCATGCTATGGGCTCTGATTCAATTGCACGGAATCAACAGAGAACTAGGGTTGCTTTTGGTCTCTCAATAGGCCCAGTGGCCACTGCACAATCCTCTTGCCTAAGAGCTATTGCAGCTGCAGTGAGGCTGGTAAAACTGGAGCCAATTTATTCTAGAATCTCTATTAAAGTCAATAATTTCTCCAAATCTTTTTTTTTTTTTTTTTTTGGTATCAGTGATCGAACTTGGGTCCTTGGGCTTACGCAGCAGGCAATGAAACCACTGAGCTAAATCCCCAGCCCACTCCACATCTTTTATTGATAGGAAAGAACCCTCTGGACTTTTCAGCCAGCCACTTAATCTCCTAAGAAATTTGTTGATTTTTCCATTAAACATCACCACACATCACTATAACACTCCACCCAATGGTTCTCCTTTCACTGGCTATAGAAAAAGATGCACATGATTTTGTACTTCTGTTAGGTAACAACCCATATATTGCACAGATCTATAACCTCTTGAATGACTTTGATTCAATCTTGCTTGTTGTTGATTCATACTAGCAAAGAAAGTCTAAAAAGTGCCAAGTAAGTTATGCTATCACTGACTTGAATTTACTCTTGGAATGTAAACTTCTCCTAGAAATAAAATAAGTTTTGATAGCTAAATTAATTATGGTCACTCAGACTTGCCAGCTGACAAAAATAAGGGTTATTTATACTGATTTAAGGTGTATGAATTTAGATGAGCCAATGAATTCAAAATAGTTTAGAAATTGTGATCTTTCGATACTACAAAAACCCTTATAATAGACAATGAGTTAAGGAACCTTGAGTTGGTTTACCTACAGAGTGATCCCTAATAAAAGCAGAGGTTAGCCAAACTGTTTCATGATATTCCTACAATAGCAGAGACAAAGTGACAATGATATTAAACCAGGATTGGTGAGATAATTTAAAACGTACTGCCAAGAATGTACCAACACATCCCCTAGCTGTATCAACACAACCCCAAATAAAGATGTGAAAATAGAATATGAAAAACCTAAGCTTATTGACCCTTTTACATTTCTCCTATAGCTCTATGAATATGTTCTGGTTATTGTTATTTCCAAAGTGGGGTAAGTCTTTTCCTTGCTGGAGAGCTGCGTCAGTAATGGTAGGAAAAAAAATGCTTCATTTTGCTTTCTCATTTGAGGAAACCTTAATTGTTCTCTCTAGAAATATAGACACATGTTTCATTGGCACAATTATTAAGGAATAGTAAAATGTTACCTTTTGCATAGAAACTTCTCTGTCTTTATCATCTACAAGCATCAAGAAAAGTAGTGAGAACTAAGGTAATTCTAAGGCCCTCAATCTACTTATGCTCACTATAA